GGAAAATAGATGATGTATTACTAAGTTACAAATGTTAGTTACAGAATAATATGTTTCTCTATTCATGTTTATGACCGTGGAAAAATAAATAGGAAGTAAGATATGCCAAAACAATTATTTAAAGTCAAGGATTGGCAAAGTACTACCTGCAGGTTAAATATGGTCTGCCATCTATCTTTGTAAATGAAGTTTAGCTGGATCACAACCATGCTGGTATCTACTTTTCTGCAATAATACTGCAGTTGAATAGATGCAACTGAGACAGTATGACCCACACGGTCTGATATGTGAACAACCTGATGTTTTACAGAAAAAGAAAACAAACTGCTGACTTAGTTCAGATAAGTGTTTCTTAATCAGTAATTGTGTGGCTCCCTGTGGGCTTCTAAGGATATCCTAAGGAGATCACCAGTGAAAATCATGTAAATAGGGGCTGTAGGGTAAGGGGTGGCATGGAACAAGACTGGAGGCCAAACTATAGGACAGAGGGGTCCACAGGAAGGAAACAGTGTCAGAAGCAGTCTTGGGTAGAAAAAGATTGAGAAATGCAGGTCTAGATTACTTAATCATAGCTGACTGACTTATCAAAATTGTTTTGTCTTTTTTCTACAAGGAGCAAGCTGTATAAAATTGTATAAAATAATATGTGCCGATTATAGAACTATTGGAACCTAGTTAAAAATGTATTAGTAATATTAAACTAAGGTGGAATTTATAAGTAAAATCATAAATGAAACTTTGAATGAAGCTTCCAAAGTTCCATTTCAAAGTATGATTTATGTTGTATTTTCTTACTTCTAAATTTAAAACCCGTATATGAACATAATTTTTAAATTTACAAATAAGGATCAGTTTTAAAATTTTATTTTAGAATTTCAACATGTTATTTTCATCTTAGTGCATTAGTCCTCTTAGACCAATCGAGTAATACACTGTAGCACTGTAGCACTGTCCTCCCTTTGTTGATCGATTTGCTCAAGCAGGCACCAGTAATGTTTCCATTGTGAGACTTGTTAGTTTTTTGCATATCTAATATGCCACAGGGAGCTTGCCAGGGTCTGCTGTGCAGGCGGGATACTCTCGGTAGCTTGCCAGGCTCTCTGAGAGGGACGGAGCTAAATTTAATAAAGTTCATTTAAATAAAGTTTGGGGAATAAGAAATAATAACAACAAATAAATATTTAAGACAATATCTTTTGCATAGTTTTATCAACTGGATAGAAAAACAATCCCATGCAAGAGTTTTCCTAAATGTTTAGAGCTTCAGAAGATAAGTGAAATCTATGTGGAACTTCCCAAAGAGGTTTTTATTTTTTTAAGAGCTAAACTCACTTGAATGCATAAATTATGAATATTTTATTACAAAGGGCAATTCTGATGTAGCTAAGCAAATTTTGCTTCAAAATCCTGTAGGATAAAACCTTAAAAAAGATGTTTGAGTAATCAGGAAATAATTAAGATAGTCAGAAGACCTGCTAATTAACATTAGGTGAGGGAATACTTGAAAATGGAATTCATATTAACTAGAACTTCCAGATGACATGCATCTTTATTAAAAGAAACAGAAGTAAACAGTACATTAATTAAACTTTCAAATACACAAAATAAGGGGACTTCTTTAATGCCAGTAAAGAAAGAAATAATATAATGAAATTTGTTTAAAAATATCAAGCAATTAAAATGAGAAATATGTATTAAGTTTTAAAAAACTTCTAAATTTACATATCCAGAAAGAATGTCAGTAATAAAATGTATTAATGCATCCATGACTTTCCTGATTTTAGAATATGTTATGTTTGGATTTGTTTTTTTTTTTTTGACTAGTTAATATCAATTCCATGAAAGAATTTCCTGAGTGTCATAATACCGTTTACACCTTTCCAAAGTCAAGAATTTTCCCTAATATTCTCAAAGATTAATATTCTGGTCTGTCTAGAGGACTAAAATAAAAGCATAACTTATCTCAATTTTAGATCACATAGAGCTTAAACACTACATGCACCTTACTATTTTGTAAAAGGGAATTGCTGCCCTTCGTATCTACTTCAATAACTTTAACTCTGCCATCTGGTTCAGTCTACCTATATAATAGCATCTCTTGTGAGATTGTTTGCACTGTTTAATACGCAACTATGTGGCATTCACTAGTAAACTTCAAACTTTTCCTCCTGTTTTGACATCAAACCATTCATTTCTCACTTTCTTTCACCACTGGTCTATGCTTTTCAAAACCTGACCTTCAAACCCCCAGCAAAATGTCCCTTCCTTTATTAAAAATATATTTCTCACCAAAAGAATCATTTCCTGCTTTATGCTTTTGTGCCTCTTACCAGCTTTTATCATAAAGGTGAGGTCTCTAAATGACTGTCTCGTGTCCTTGGCAAGACATTAGTCAAGTCAGTAGCTATTTTATTTACCACTTTCTTCAGTACCTAGCACAGTTGACTGTTAGCAAATTGTTAATATGCATTTGGTAACTAATAAATGACCTCCTTTGAAAACATCAATGAAAGGAAACCTGTTTAACTGTTCACAAAAAGACACCTTTGTTCCATCTTCTCAATGCAAAATGAATCAGATAACTGCCGAACAGGGCAGATAGTTTAATTCAGGCAAATATGCTTTAAAATTGGAGTTGAATTGTATATCAAAGCAACAGGTATTTTCACCGCTGTGGGGGACAGAGGGGTAATGCCACACCCAACTGTGCTCAAGGCTTACTACTGACTCTGTACTGAGGGATCACTACCAGCAGTGGTCCCTAGATCATATATGGTACATGAGTATCTAACCAGGGTCACATGCAAGGCAAGTGCCTTACTCCCATACTCTCTCCAGCCCCTTCACCCCTTCAATAGCATTAGTGTCTTATGAAGTCCTCTATGCCGTTGGAGTGATCAGTGATCAGTCCTCTAAGCAGTTGGAGATTGCATAGTGATCAGTGAGTGAAAACTTCCTGCCTTCTGTGCCACCTCCTAGCATTTTGTGGCCTCAGTAGCCTCATCTTTAAAAAAATAATCATCATTTCAACCTTACCTCTTTTATTAGATTGTTATGAGAAATAAAAAGTAAGTGGTAGCACATATATATATATATATCATAAATAAAGCATACTGGAAAGATATATATATAATCTATAAGAATAAGAAAATGTCTAGTCAGAATATTTAGATCAAATTTGTCTGAAGTATCTTATAAAATGTTTGCAACCAGGAAAGATTTTTGGTATGCAGTAACTCATTTCTATCACAAGAAACAGAGTAATTATATGGGGGCAAATTTTAAGAGTTTTTTTTGTTGTTGCTTTGTGAATCTGTTAAAACTTCAAATTCAATATGAGGAATCCTTATATATGAGTTTCAGGCCTAAAATAATATTTAACCTAATTTACATGCTGACCATTAAGGAAGATTGGATATATTTCCCTCTCTGATGCTGTTAAAGTGGATATAGTAAAGATTCAATGTCTTTTCCATCATACTTAATACAAACTGAAATTGTAATAAACCTTCCAAAAAGTGAAAAGTATATATTTTAGAACTCAAGGACAAAAATAAGAATGTGAGCATTTGTTTATTTGTAATACCACCAGACCTTGGGTCTATAGATGGAATTCCCCACCTTGTCTAGTCTTGAACTGGTTGGCACAACACAGAAAGGGACAGAGACCAACTGCTGATCCCTGACTCAATTAAGTAGAAATAAGAAGGCTCAGCATTTTTGATGTATGTGCAAGCTTTTGTTTTCCCCATATGCAGAATGGTTTAGTAATTCCTTCTCATTTGATTACTTAGCCCATTGTTACATAGTTTCAGATTGGTTGGACCAATTAAAAGATTTTAATTCCCTCTCTTTTAATGTGAGTTCAATAGCATAACTCTAAACAATCTCTATGAACACCAGTTTTGCTAGGTTTAAATGTGTTATGGATCTTGCTGTGCCCTATGGAGTTTTAGTATATTTTCCCAAAGAGCCATTGAGCAGAGACTATCTTGAATAACAGATGAGTCCTGATAATTCAGATTTTAAGTCATTCTGACCTCTCTGGAAGTCTGTAGGCCTAAAGGATTACAAGCATTAGTAGCTACATTATCAAAATGACAAGATATCTGTAAATGATTTGGCTAATCTTCATGTTGTGTTTCTGCTTAATATAATTATTTAGACATGATTTAGATGATAACTAATAAGCACTATGAGTGCTTACCATTAAAAAAACAGCTTTAATTTTAAAAAATAATTACCAAAACCAACCCTGTTTCTTCCCTCTCCTTTACCCATCATCCCAAAGTTAACATTTCATTTGTTAATGCTTAACTACTTGGTGTAATGGTTGAATTTCAAGTTCATATTTTTGACAGAATTAAAATATGAAATGCTAAATGAAACTACCATTGCTTTTATTTTTTCTGGACCACTCCTGATGTTGCTCAGCATCACTACTGGTGGTACTTAGGGAACCATATGCAGTGCTGGAGATCAAGTAGGCCTAATGCCAGGGGAACAAGGGAAGCTTCTTACCTCTATACTATATCTCTGGCCCTCCAAAACTGTGATTGCTTAATAACATTTCATGCTACCTTTGTACTGAGTCACCCTCTTGGGAGGTAGTTGATTTTCTTATATATGAAAGACTTTCATGGAACATATTTAAAACCCAAGGATATTAGACAGAAAGCTACCTGCTTCAAGTGGCAAAACTAAGTCATTTTTCATAAATTACTATGATCTTGAGTGACCTGGTAATGAAAACTGACACTTTGGAGTTCTGTTTCAGGCAAGCAGAATGAGCTAAAATCTGTGCTGTAATAATAATGGACTAGAAATCAAATTTCTGTGTTGAGTTCTTTATTTTGGAGGGGAGAAGAATATCATCAGTGCTCACCTGACTATACCTGGTGGGGTGTGGGGCTTATGGGACTATTGAAGGGCCAGGGATTGAACCAGGGTAAGTCATGGATATATGTAACTTTAATACTGTGTCTCTGTGTCTCTCTTAGAAGATAAAGGGAAGTTAAAAGTCAACAACTCCAGTCAGCCATCTAGCTCTGAAAGCAGCTCATTTCTCCTCAAGTCTGGCACAGCACCCTTGCCACCTGGAGCAGCCACTTCTCCCTCCAAGAGCACAAATGGAGCTTCTGGTTCTGTTTCTGAATCAGAAGAAGAAAAAGCCAAAAAATTACTTTATTGTTCACTATGCAAAGTGGCTGTGAACTCATTGTCACAGCTAGAGGCACACAACACAGGTTAGCAGTTATCATTTGAATTTAAAGAATGTTTATGAGAAAGACCTCTCCCATCAGAAAAATGTATCTTTTATTATTCTATGTCTTCTCTACTTTTTTGATTTAAAGCAGTGATTTTTTTTAAAGAAAACTCTTATTCTAATGGCTTTGGAAGTAACAAAAGCAGATGGAAGACAAAACTTGTGTTTTTTACTTCCTCAAAAGAATCCAGTACTCTCCAAGGTTATCATGATAAAGTGACAGAGATGAATGAAAACCTCTATGTATAATGTTCATACATAGAGAAGAAATGACTAAAAGTCTCAGTAGAAAAATGTTGAAAACATAAAAACCTAATATAGTATATATTTCAGCTATTAAAATATAATTATAAGAAAATGTACATGTCATTTGAAATGTAAGATTGTTTTTTCTTTTTGGGTCACACCTGGTGATGCACAGGGGTTACTCTTGGCTCCACACTAAGGAATTACTCCTGGCAGTAGCTCAGGGGACCATACGGGATGCTGGGAATTGAACCAGGGTCGGCCGCGTGCAAGGCACAGCCCTACCCGCTGTGATATGTGTCCAGCCCCAGAAATGTAAAATTTTTTAATATTTTCAGTATATTGCCAAAAAGTGGGAAAAAATATACTAAAATGAGAAGTGATTATCTGAGAGGTGAAAATATGGACAATGATTATTTTCTTATGTCTCACTATTTTCTCTGTTTTCTTTTGTGCATGCTTTTATGTTTTCCTACTCTTTTACAATTAAAATGTATTAAATTTATGATCAGCATTAAAATGGTTATTTTTAAGAAAGCATTTGGGAAATTCAGTCTGAACATAAACCTCTCTGGGATTATAGAAAACACAGTTCTTAAATAGCTGTTTAGTATTTGTCTCTTTCTGTCCTAGGATCTAAACACAAGACTATGGTGGAAGCTCGTAACGGAGCTGGTCCAATTAAGTCCTATCCGAGACCTGGCTCACGATTAAAGATGCAAAACGGCAGTAAGGGGTCAGGACTACAGAACAAGACATTTCATTGTGAAATCTGTGATGTTCATGTCAATTCAGAAATTCAGCTCAAGCAGGTAATACAACCTGAATTAGCAGTCGCTGATACAAGGGTCTCCAGTTGATTATGTAACTCCTCATCTCTGTAATAGTTCTCAGTATATTTGCTGTTGCAGTTTACAAATTTTATAGAATGCATTTAGTTAGAAGACAGTACATAGAAAATACTGGAAAGTAAAAGTCAGTGCCCAGTACTTGTGCACCTAGTCACACTCTGTAGGTTTCCAGGAAAGGAACGGATGGGCATAGTGGTCACCTGGAGTTTACAGTCCAGCAATAATTTCTTGAAAGATAAGTGAAATATGCAGTCTGTCTTTTAGCCCAAAATCTGGTTAGGGAGAGAGGTTCATCATTCACTGTGGATAACAGTACAAAAAGTTGAAGCAAGTGTTAGTTATAGAGAAAGAAAAGGGAAAGAGAGACCTCTACAATTAAGTCAGAGGGAGTCTTTGAGTGATGACTTTGCCTAAACCGCCTTGGAGCTATGAATCTAGAACCAGGTACAGAAAAACTGGCTGCCTCTACCTAGGAGATATTTTTTCTCTTCGAATAACTGTCACATTTAAATTCCGCTAATGCATCCAACTTTTTCCAGCACATTTCTAGCCGAAGGCATAAGGATCGGGTTGCTGGGAAACCTCTGAAGCCGAAATACAGCCCTTACAACAAACTCCAGAGGAGCCCAAGCATTTTAGCAGTAAGTTCACCTCACCTGCTCATCTGTTTGTGCAGCAACCTTGCTAAGTAGGGCATGAACTGTAAGGAGTTACTGGGAACTAATTGGTCCTGAAAGGGTTTGAATTTAAATAGTCTATAGAAGTTCTCCTAGGAACTACTTAACCCTGCTGTAATACACCTTGAAGCAATCTTCCTCTCCTCTCTTTCGACCCCACCCCAAATTTTCTCATCCTCTCTTTTGCCATCTCCTTCCAGATCCTCCCCCCTCTGCCTCTATCCATTTCTGTCTTTGTCTCTCTGTCTCTCTCTGTGTCTCTCTGTCTGTTTCTTCTCTCTCTCTCTCTCTCTCTCTCTCTCATACACACATACTTTGTATGTACTTGTAGTGTTTGCTTTCCATATCTATTAGGTCTATTGATAATCACACTAATTTCCCTGCCCTATGTTCCTACTTGAGATATTTCCCAAGTCTATGCAAATATACCCAGGGGCTTCAGTTGTATCATATAAATAGCCAGGTCATAGATTTCTTAATTTCCCTGAGACTTGGCCTCGTGTGCCATCTATCTGAGACAGAAACTGGGATTGCCAAATGAGGGTGATGTTGAGATTACCTTCTAGTTTCTCCCAAGCCTCTGTCTGTTGCGGAAAGCAGGTGTTAGCTGCATTAAACAATCCCAGCTTGCAAAGTATTCCTGATTGCAAAAGAGCAAAATTAAGGAATGAATGCTTACTTCACAGTAATATTTTACCCTGTGATTCTTTTAAATAGAGGAAGTTTTCTAAATAAACCTTTGGGCTATAAGAGAAAAAAAAATGGTTATCAAAAGAAGGAAGAGGGCAAAGGAATGGGCAGATCTGAAGAAAGGGGCAAGTGTACAGTGAAGGACAGAACTAAAGTTAGTGTAACGTGTGCACATGTTGGCTTTTGGTGACCCATACCTCAATCTAATAGCTACTGCAGCTTATGTAATGTTCCAGTGCAATGACACTGAAATTAACAAATCAAGCCCACTTAGAATCATTCCCAGTGAAAGAACCAGGAGTGGGAGAGATCACACTGTGGGTTGGTCACATTCCTTGCATGTGGCCAACCCAGTCTTATCCCTGCATCACATATGGTCCCCTGGAGCCCTCCCGGAGTGATTCCTGAGTGCGGAGCCTTGGAATAACCCCCGAGCATCTCCAGATGTGGCCCCCAAAACAGGAAAATAAAAAACATAAGCTGTAGTTCTTCAAGGAATACTTTCAATGGTCAGAGAGAAAGAGAGACACATAGAGGGGTGTGAGGAAGAGGGGAGGAAGAGACTTCATCTCTTCACGGGTCCTTAATGGTCTGAACCCGTTACCTACCCCAGTGCCTCTTCTAAGAGAGGATGGGAAGTGTGGTGTGCACCCTTAAAATTACAGACCAGCACTACCCTCAAGACTGCACTGCTAGAGGCTAATTTTTGTTAGAACTCTCCTGTTCAGACTGGAACCCCCCTGGGCGTTCGTTCATTCTGAGCAGCAGCCTAAGTGAGTTTCCAATCCTTAGCGCCCAAGGCACAGGCCCAGGGGAAAAGGTGACACAAACACAGAGACCAAGAGCTGCCGAGGGTCTCTGGGAACCCCCTGGAAAGGAATCTCTCTGTATTGCCTTCCTAGAGCCCTGGCTGGTCAAACGGGGGCTTCTCGTGAAGGCAGACGGGTCGGTGTGGGTGGGGGTGGGGGTGGGGGGAGGGCGCTCTCCCTTAAAGCCCCTCTCCACCCCTGCCCTCTGGTTCTCTCCCACCATCAGGCAAAACTCGCCTTCCAGAAGGACATGATGAAGCCCCTGGCGCCCGCCTTCCTGTCGTCGCCCCTGGCGGCGGCGGCGGCCGTGTCCTCGGCGCTGTCCCTGCCCCCGCGCCCGTCCGCGTCCCTGCTGCAGGCCGCCGCCCTGCCCCCCGCGCTGCTCCGACCCGCGCACGGGCCCCTGCGCGCCGCGCCCGCCTCCATCCTCTTCGCGCCCTACTGACCCGCCGCCCTGCGCCCGCCGGGACCGCCAGCCCACCCCGAGCGCCCCCGCCGCCCCAGACGCTCCGGCCCCCGGATGCCACCGTGCGCCCAGGACCGCTCCGCTCCGCCGGGGATCCGAGCTGCACCGGCTTGACCTCCCTCCCTCCCTCCCCTGCCCACTCCTGTCTAATTCGTGACTCGGTTTCTTGCAACGGTATTGGTCCCACCCCCGACCCTCACCCCCCAGAGCCGCATTGTAGACCGTTCTCTGACTGTCTTTCCATGGGTGTGATCTGATGCAGGAACAATAGGGAATCCTTTTTTCCTGCCAGACTTGAAAAACGGGTCTTCCTTTCTCGCACGGCTGTAAATAACTGGAATCCAGCGGGCGACCACGGAGCATGGGACAAAACGAGCGCAAGTGCTGACTTGTGGCTGCCACCTTAGCCAACGGAGCACCAAGCTTTTTTTCTCTTGGGTGTACTGTTGTTGACAGGGATTGTGTACTGTTCTAGACCCAAGTACTCTTGTTTCCTGTGTAGTACTAGACCTGTATCTCTCGTTGGAACTAAACCTTTTCAGTTGCTGTGTAAAACGTTAGGAAGCAAAGTAGCTTTGAATTTTTCTCTTTAAGAGAGCAAAAGATAAAAACGACGCCTTTTCTTTATTTCACATATTCTTTGGTGATATTTAAACAAAATAGAAAGCCATATAACGTAGCTATAATTATAATGTTTCCTATTTTTGTTTAACTTATTTTGTAGCTTCCTCATGAGTGTGAGTTGCTAAGCAAATGCATACAAACAGAAAAAAAAAAAGAGCTTCCTAAATTGCATCTGTTTGCACCTCTTGTGCATCTGCAAGAAGACAATGAATTCATGTGTTTCTACGTAATCATCTTCCTCATTTTTAAACCTGTTTTCATTTGTAATGATGCTACATAATTCTGTGGCTCCCTAATGCAATAATGTACAGAAGATAAAAAAATTTATAACTGAACAGTCTGTCTTTCTGTTCTTGGAATATGTTGCAGGCCATGCCCCTGTGCCCCCCATTCTAAGCTGATATCAACAAGACTGTAGTGTTTGTGATATCAGGGGCAAGAGGTGCCATAAAAGAACAAAATAGAGTGAACTCTTTTAGAGCATCTATATCTGCAATCTGTAAATGGTAAAATGTCTGTGTATTTTTTTAAATGTACCTTTTCAATAAAAGTACAAAAAAATAAAAAAATCTGTTTGTATTTTCAAAGTTATTTTCTCCTGAGACACCTCCAATTTTAAATCATCTGATGAAAGATTTTCAGTAGGTGCAAAGATTGCTTCTTACATATTTAGCATTTCCAGCTCTTATTTGCAGCATATTTATTTGTCATGTTTATTCATTAGTGTTCACAGCATCTGCATGAGGCCAGACTTTACTGCTGTTTTCCCTTTGAATCACTAAGAAGTTGGGCCAAAGTTGCGAGCTTGGCTTAAACTCACCGTAGCAGCCTGCTAAAAAAAAAATTGGTTTTTGTTTGTTTTTGTTTTTTTAATGTTTCTGGAGTCTTTTAAATGTTAGTTTTGTTGTTGTTGTTTTGTTTTGTTTTGTTTTTATTCGTGTCCAAAACATTTAAGATCTCTTTTTAGAGAATTTTGTTCACCCCTTTACTTTGTGAAATTAACCCAATCAAGATTCAGATGACTCAAAATAACCCCCATTTTATTAATACATCATGATTGGGGGAAAATAGGAATTGAGAGAGGAGTGAGTTCTTTGCCTCAGGCATCTGTAGAAGACCCTTGTTGGTATTTACTCATCAGTGGAGGGGTATGGTGAGGTGAGAGGAGGCAGAAGGGTAGAGTAGGATGGGGATGGTTTCACTCATTGGTCTCTGGATGGAGGTGGCTGAAAGGCTGAAAAAGCAGAGATCTACTGGAACACTTTACACGGGGCCTATGTTGGCCTCCTCAACTTCTTGAACTCAAGTAGGACATGGTAACCCAGGGATCCCAGAAAGAACATTTTAAGAAATAAAAACTTCTATAAAATAGTCCCAAAACTCTCAGCCTGTCACTACATGCCACATTTCTTTGATCAAGCAAGTCACATAATGCCAATTCAGGGACAGAAAGTTGTACTTCACTTTTAATTATTATTGAGGTGATACTGACATATAATGTTATATTAATTTAAAATGCACTTTATCATGATTACACAGGATCACAGTAAGCCAAGTCATCATACACAGTTACCAAAAACTATTTTTGTGAGGAATACTTTTAAGATCTGCCCTACAAGCAAATTTCAGATATGCAATACATTATTATTAACTGTGATCACCATGCTGAATGCTGTGTCCTTGTGTTTTTATAACTAGAAGTTTACACCTTTTGACTCACCTCACCAGTGTCACCCAACCCCCCACAATTTGTATCTGGTAACCACTAATTTGTTCTCTGCATCTACGGGCTTAAGTCTACTTTTGCTTTTAATTTCATATATAAATTAGATCATAGGACATTTCTCTTTCTTTGACATTGCAATTAGATTTTCCATGTTGTCACAAATAATAAGATCTCATTCTCATAAATGAATAATATTCCATTGTATATTTGATTTCACATTCTATTATGAAGATCAAAGAATGCTTAACTACTTTTAATCTATAATTTGGGAGGAGGTTTTACAAGCAGTGCTCAAGGGGTCTCAAAGCTCACTTCCCAAGATATTTGAGGATCATGCACTACCAAAAATCAATTTCAAGGCCTCTGGATGCCAGGCATGCATTCCAGCCCTTTGAGCTATCTTCCCAGTTCCTTTTGGGGGGAATGGAAAATAATGCTACTATACATCTTAATAAGCCTAAATCAAGTCAACTTTTAATAAGGAGAATAACTTAGAAATAATTTTATTTCTAAAAAATTAAGATCCAGTGATAGTAGCGTGATAAAAGCCAATCTATTTTCTCTGTCAAAGGTAAAGGTAAAGGTAAAGGCCCTCCCGTTGATCTTCGATTTGCTCGAGCGGGCCCAGTAACGTCTCCATTGGAGACTTTGTTGTTACTGTGTCTGGCATATCGAATACTCTCGGTAGCTTGCCGGGCTCTCCGAGAGGGGCGGAGGAATCGAACTCGGGTCGGCCATGTTGGCCGCTTGTAAGGCGAACGCCCTACCCGCTGTGCTATCGCTCCAGCCCTATCTATCCAATTGTTTGAAAATTGTTGACTAATGTTCTCAGCCTATACTCAATTTAGTTTTAGTTTTTCAAAGTTTAAGTTTGACACTTCAGTTTGCAGGTTTCTAATACGACTCATTTGAACTGTATTTCGTATTTAGTTACAGCCAACCTTGATTAGATCTTCAAACATGGCACAAAGGAAGATATCATGTTCTGAAGGAAATGTTGATATTTAATATTTAAATGTTGATTCAATATATTTTCATAATTTTATTACATTATTGCTCATGACAGCAATGTCTAATTAGATGTATAGTTTCTTTTTTTAAAATAAATCACCTCAGAAGAGCAGAGAAATATCTTCAAGGGCTGGAACACATGCTTTGTATACAGGGCCCCACTTCAGTCCCCACCACACATGATCTCTCAAGAGTTCCGTGAAGCAGCTACTAAACACTTGCAGATATGCACCCCCTAAAAATAAATAACCTCAGACATGCAATATCTCAAAGAATAGCTCATACCTAAAATGTGCGCCTCCAAAAGAAGTCATGAGTAGCTTCAAGCATGATTTATAAAACACCATTAAGTAAATACATTTTAGTATCCACCCTAATTCTGAGGTGAGCAGAATGGATTTTTCCTAAGGAGATTTACAAATATGAACAAATACTCTATCATTTCTGGAAAAATAGACCATCCTGCCTTTCTTTTTGTGGAGAAAGTTTTAAAATGTGTAGCTTACTCTGATAGAGTCTAGCTCTGATCTCTGTAGAATTTGAAAAATTATGTCAGGTAGGATTGCTAAAATTTAACACCCTGTTAAATTTGAATTTAAGATTAGCAATATATAATTTTAGCAATATATTTTCATAATTTTATTACATTATTGCACATGATAGAAATATGTCCTATAATAAGTGTACACTGCTTAGGCTATATACTAATAGACTAGTTGTTGTTTATCTGAAATTCAAATTTAAGCAAACATCCTGTCTGTCTGTTTGCTAAATCTGGCAGCTCTTGTCTCAGGAGTATTCTTCTTCATCTGAAGTATCATAATTCTTTAGGAGCGAAGCATCCTCTTGGGTGTTGAAAACTAAATAATAAGGTTGTTTTTTTTAAGTCATTCACATTGTGAAATGCACTCAAAAATATACAGAGAAAGGAACTTGCAGGAAATAAGTCACTGGTATATTCAACTTCTATAGGACCAGGACAAGTATAAACTTAGATCAGATTCCTCTTACTGAAAGCTGCACCATAACCATTGAATAAAATAAAACTACAGTAAGAGGAAAACCCCCAAATTTTAACTATGCACCTGATACACAACCCTGATTCACTCTAAGAGAATTCTGATTTTCCAGAACAGAAATGCATACAGTTTTATAGAATTTTTCTCTCAAAAAGTGCCTTAAGAAACATTTTACTGTTAATGTCATAAAGAAAGAGAATCATAGGATTCCCACTGGAAAGGAAAAAAGGAAAGAGAAAGCTGACTTTCTCTCTGGTGGAAAGGTATTGTGCTAAGATGCTCAAATATTATAAAGAGACTTGCTAAGAAGATTGAGTTTGGAGCTGTTTTAAGAAATGGGATGCTCTCTGCTGGAAGCTATTGTAGAGAAGGATCATATGGACAAGGGTGAGATAAAAACATTTGATCAAGAATCAGTCAGCATCAAGACAAGATCCTGATAATAGCTATTTAGGTAGCAAGTGCAGATTTTGATTTCTTCTGCTGTTTCACTATGTGGATTCTGGGCTCTCTTTATAGTGTTTTGTTCATCAGAAATTTGTTTTGTTCATTTTGTGGCCCTCAGTTAATATCTAAGGAGTCTCTTTGGGAAAAGACCGGTTTCTGGTAAGTTGGTGGACTGAAGAGAAGCCGTGCAGTGCAGGAGTGAAATCCACAGAGAATTCTCATCTCTGCCTCCTTCCTTCTGCCAAGTCATTAGCTGCATGGGAGAATTCACAAGGGACGTGACGCAGGTTCTCAGCAGCTATGGAGTGTGACTGTAGGGAACTGCCCTGATTTCCTTGTACAAAATTTCTAAAGACAGACAATATAATATATTCCTCCACTATTCACTAAGTTCTTAAATGGCATCAAGCCTCTTGTTGTCAGGTCTAATCCCCTCTGTAGCTGCAATGAAAATACCTCTATGTTATATGATTTATTTCAAGAAGTCATTTATCTACAGATGATTGGATAAGCTTATTAAGCATATGACTTTCTTTTTTATTACAGTGAAAAAGTTAAACTAGGATGGAGGAGAATTAAATTAGACTCATATATAATTTGCACTCAAAAGATCTGAGTTCAAATCCTGGTCATGTCTTACACAAATTCGTGTAATGAATATATATTAGGAAATTATTTTTATATACTCTCCTAAAGCCTTACAGAGATATAATAGAATCCAAGTCTAAAAACCAAATAAAAACATGTCAAAATGTTTCTGCAATTATAGCTTGCTATAAAATTTTCATAATATACAAAATGAAAATATTAAATGAATATTTTTAATATTATACAAAATTCTCTGGGGCTGGAGCAATAGCACAGTAGGTAGGGCATTTGCCTTGCACGCAGCTGACCCAGGTTCTATTCTCAGCATCCCATATGGTTCCCCAAGCACCGCCAGGAGTAATTCCTGAGTGTATGAACTAGGAGTAACTCCTGTGCATCGTCGTGTGTGACCCAAAAATCAAAAATAAAAATCTCAGAAATTAGTAAATTCTAAGTCTTTAATCTAGATTCAGAAAAAGGCATTTGTGTCCAGAAGAGAAAGCAAATTTATCATCACCTATATAAACACTTTATAAAAACACTTTTATATAAACATCAAAAATCAGATGGGCTAGACACGTAATGAGGTTTACAGATGACCGCTGGACTAGAGCCATTACTGACTGGATTCCACGGGACGTCAAAAGATCGCGTGGATGCCCACCTACAAGATGGTCAGACTTCTTCAAGACCCTGAATGATCGGTTTGAGGCTCTGCATGTTCCTAGAACGAGCAGATGCCATTGGACACATTACTAGCACCCGCTCGAAT